GCCACTCTACCTCCTTCTTGGCCAGCCAATCATAGGTGCCGTAGACTTCTATTGGCCAAGTAGTTGTGCAAGCGTCCAGTGATTTACTCTCCTTTGACGATTATTCACTTACACTGACAGCACACAGACGTCCGCGCGTGCAGTATCGGCGCCCGCCGCGCGTCTGGGATTCAGACAACCATTGAGCTTCTGTACACTATAAACAGCACCATTGGTCTTACCCCTCTTCTTCCTGTACGGAATCGGCGTGATAATTTTAGTGTTTTGAGCACACCCACAGCTTAGACACCTACAATTCGGGCCTACGACTCATGGCGGAAAAAATTGTTTACTACTAGAAGCGTTTGGAGGGAGTGACGTCGTCTGAATTATTAGCATGCAAATTCAGGTGTGCACAATTTAGTATATTGCTTGTCGAACAGACGATGATTTGAGGAGATTTCACAGGATGCCTTTTAACTTTTAGAAAGGACATTCTGGGGAAAATAATGGCAGACTTAACAAAGGGATTGAACCGCTAACACAAAAAGTATTAATCAGCCAGAAACGAAGGGGTTCCTGCGTCTAATCTAAGTGTTGGCCTACATTCTATGTGAGTGTTGTCATACGTAATTATCTGATCTCTTTCGCATGTTGTGTGGTGCATAGGCACGGTTCGCTTTCTACATCTACGCTGTGTGCAATTAGGTTGTTACGCAAACCCTGAAATTAGACTCTAATGTTTTCCTAAATGTTCTGGGCGAGATCTTCAAATGACCTCAAACCATGAATTACTATCCCCGAGGATTAGAATTATAGTGAATCAGGCACGGTAAAACCCTCGTATAATATTAAATTAATTATGGTAGAGGGACGCTGATCGCTCGTCTTAGGGGACATTCTCACGCCGTTGTGTTGTAAGGTTCACTCTTGATCCCCGCCAGTTTCCGCGCAACGAGTATTATTATAGATGCCATATTGAAAATCAGGTTTCGCGGATAAATGCAGGCAAATTCCTTGATCTGAAATTCGCAACCAAACTATAAACGCCAAACTATCAAATTCCTTGACAATTGGACGACCTAAGTCTTTGTTATCAGTTAGAGCCTTCAGAGACTTTTAATACCGTTCAGAAACCAAACAGAATTTAATGCTGTTAAAATGATAGATGAGTCCCGTTGTCCAGCGATTTAAAGATTTATTTGTTAAGATTGCAAACTGTCTTCAAATATCGAATGTAGGTACCATCAAAAGCGACGCATCGGTGTTTTCGCCAGCTCAACTATATGGTGTGTTCAAATAAATTCAAGAACATCAATATCACCATCATATTAAAACGTGTATTACGGTAAAACCTCATGCCTTTGTTTTGCTGAATTCGTGAAATTTTCATTGAATCCTTATTAATTTGAATGTAATATTTTTCTTACATATCTGCGAAATTCTCGAAAAAAACTTTAAAAATTCCTATTCAAAAGATACGTTGTGATGAAAATATATAGAAAACAAACGTATGCTCACCAAAACTCCCTTTTAATTTTTCAATGATAATTTACGCAATTTTCTACCTTTCTGGGGAAAATTGGAGGCGTAAAAGGAAGCATTTAAGAAATCCTTTCGGAAAATTTTCGTTGCTTTGTATGTAAAATGCTGTCCTGTTACTTTTCAAGATGTGATACTCAGTTCCATGCCTTACTCCGTTTTACCTTACGGTGAGTGCAGAATAAAAGAGCAACCGATAAGTTAGTAAAATGGGACCATTAGTATACCGTACTGGAAATGCGCTCATGTTAAAAATATTTATAGGCCGATAGCGTTTGGTTTATGTTTAAGTATTACTTGCAAATCCAACTTTAGACTGAATAAAAGAATGTTTTTGGTGCATGCTTTGGTTCAGCTTTAGGCTACAAGAGTCAGAAATAAGCCTTTTACTGACACATACCAAGCATTCAAGACTCTTCCTTAATCTCGATGACTTCTGGAAACTAACCTCCCAAAATTCTGAGGTTTAAATAGGGTAATAAGCGTTGACCACATTAAAACAAACTAGTGCCCGCCAAATTGTCATCAGTGAGGAAGCAGCAACCGTTGCACACACGAAGTACACGGCGTAAATTGCGTCAGCTAGAACATCGATCGTCTAAATGTGCGTTGGTTGGCATGGGCCATTTTGATTGGCTGCGAACGAAGGTTAAGTGCCTGAGTGCACGGCTGCGCTATCATGCCTTATCACCTCTTCTCCTCCTTCTGTTACTGCTGCTGCTGCTGCTATTTATGATACAGCAGCGCTGTAACGCTGGCACCGTTAGCACCATGCTCTCCCCATACCAAGAGACGTTTTATGATGAGATACTACTGAAAGACGTCTGCCCAGATCTCAGTCAAATACAGAAGGAAAGTGCACTTGTTGATCTGACTCTCAAGGTAAGTTAGTCCCTGTTCACCTACCCTAATGAAGTCCAACCCCTTCGGGCCTTCAAAAGACGCAAGGTGGTCTGCCTATCAAAGTGCATCGTGTTGTTTTTGCGGCTCGTTTGCCAAAACTGCAAGACTTTATTTGCAGTTCCACCGACTCAACCCTTGATTGGTCTCGCTTCCCACAGAGGTAGGTCTGGCGTCCCACAGCACCGTTATAACTATATCCAGCTCGGTGGAAGCATTGACCGAGTACGTTTACACAGGCCGACTGGAGGTTTCCACGAGGACGGTGCAGCCAATATACCTTCTGGCCGCCTCTGTGGAATTGGAGCATGTGCGTCGTTGGTGTGGGCAGTTTATGATTCAACGGTGAGTCCCAATTTGGGGAATTGTGCGTCTAGGGTAGGTATTAGGCGATTGCGCTCTTAAGTTCTGCAACTGTGCTTCATTCAAAAAGGCCTCCCATTACTGAGGCTGGGAAACATATCCGACAGAATGTTGTTAAACTGTCGAGCAGAAGAACACCAGGTTGCCTAAAATGTTTCCTCGAGTTCCATAGGAACCAACGGATGTCACACACAGAACGTAGATCATAATGACTTGCCTGTCTTTCATTAGTTGCTGCTCAATCAGAGGAATCAACGAACCACCGTATGAGACCGCGCGGATTGAAGACTCAACATCATTATATTCATTTTTTGAACACGCCACTGCCTGTAAACATCTCCACTGAAATCAAGAGTACAAACCTTTACCTTGGAGTAAAATAGGGACAATTGCGCGGCACCTACCGCATTCTCTCACCTGACATTTATCTTTCTGCAAAGACAGGACCCGATCAAGTCGAGGGGAAGTTGGTTTACTAGGGGTGACTGACCTGACATAGCATCTTGGAGTTTTATGTACCACAATATGTCTAGAATAGTACACGAAGTGGGAATCAGACAGTGTGTGGCGCGCATAGACGAGTTGCATTCAGACCTGTCAACCGCTTTGGCAGAGAGGCTCTAGAGGTCAATTGGTGCATGGAGGAGGAATCGGTCTCCGTGAGATTTCTGCGCATTCCTCACTAAACGGAAGTTGACAGGATCGGATGCGATGGACATTTCCGACGAAGACGAGGGCGACTGGAATTGCCATTTCTGAGTCATAAGCCGTCATCAGTCAGTTATACTGAATGCCAGAAGCCCAGCAGTTTAACCTACTGCGCCACCCGGTTCGTCGTCTTGCCGGTTTAGGTCGAAAAACATTCACCGATCGTCTAGGTTACTCATTTCTCTCGCTCAAAGCGGTGAATTAGAGCTTTGCACGTCGAATCAACAGGTCTCAGGTTCAAGGCTCAGGGGCGGTTACCTCTGAGGTGGGATATGGCTGGCCGATGACGGCTAATGAACTAAAAAAAACTATTTTGTCTTTTCATTTGCTAGCCGCTGTGTGGCTGCTGGCAGCGCTCAAGAGTGAGTTCCGGAGCAAAACCGGGCGACTGAGTTCCGTATGCATTAATCAACCAAAAATTGAATCGAGCACGATGTTCTAAGACGCGTGACTGAAAATTGACATTAGACCTCAGTCGAACTATCAGGACTCGTTTGTCTCTTCTGGTGTCACCCTAATTCACAAATGTTGTTAAGAGGAGCTGGTTGTCATCTCTTGGCAACTAAGTCGTTTTGGCCTCTCCATCATCCTCATTGCGCGCAAGCCTATGTCGAGTAAAGGACCCCCTACCCATGGAACAAATAAGTAACGTCATATACCGAATACCGTGCGCCGGTTGCCCTTGTGTTTATATTGGCCAAACAGGCCGATGCC